TTCTGGATGACCACGCTGTGACACCCCCTGGTGCCAGGCCAGCCAAAGAGGGTGTGATGCAATTGGTCGGGGGCCCAGCTATCGCCCCATGATCACCCCAAAGAGGGAGGCCCAGGCCACCGGTGGCAGTGTGATTGATCCGTGGGGGGCTCCACGATTGCCCCAAAGAGGAAGGCCCAGGCCACTGACTGGCGGGCTATGGTGGGTGGGCGGGGCCTCCCTCTGTGGGGGGGCCGATCCATCATGGGGCTCCTGGACTGTGAGAGGGCACAGGCTGGGCTGAGAGACCCCCCGCCCTGCCCCAAGTGCACGTATTTTGTGCACCAGGCCTCTAGTCTGTACAATAAAAACAGAAGGAAAAAAAACTTACCCCAAAATAGCAAGAGTAGATACCTGTTGTTTCATCTGCCCAGTTTTCCTTCCTTTAAGGAGCTGCCCATCTCCTGGTGGATCTGGTGGGGCTGTCCATTCCCTCACTCCCTTCTGACTAGGCATGTGTCTCAGCCTGACCAACCATGGTATTCCTCCCATGCTGTGGCAGTGATTGGTCCAGAGATGGGCACATGTGCCAGGCCCAGCCAATCGAAGTCTTTCCCTGAGAATTTCTTGATAGCCCGCTTTCTGAGGTCAATGGTGATTTGATGTGAGCCTGGAGCTGTCTGTGGCCAGCTTGACTGCCCTATGGAGAAAGGCCACCAGAGAAAGAAACAACTAAGATAGATTGAGAGAAGAGAAAAAAAGGGGGAGGGAGGGAGGAAGAGAGAGAGAGAGAGAGAGAGAGAAAGAGAGAGAGAGAGAGAGAGAAGAGAACAAGTACATTTCAGCCCCTGGCATTCATATCCCCAAGGTTAACCCCGTCTGTGACTCTCCAGGAATTGAGCCAGTAAACTCCAGTTAAGCTAGACTGTTATGTTTACTTAACACCAAAAGATGCTTGAATTCTACATCATCATTATTCTTTTTAATGGCTCACGCGGGCCCAGAGTCTGAATGCTGCATAATTTATTAGCCATCAGCCCCTGGTGAGCATTTGATTCTTCCCCCATTCCCTGGTTATCAATGATACTGGGAGGAGCGATATCTCATTAGGAGCAGGTTCCAGAGGTGAACTTGAACATCAAAGTGTGCACCACTCCCCTTGACCACACCCCTGCCTTTGACGTCCTGAATTATGGAGCCTCCCGGGTCTGGCCCCCTCTGTCCCTCTGCGCTGTAGGCTCTCGGTAAGTCTTGTGGCCAAACCTCGACGAGGAGGCAGGTCTGGGGGAAGCGGGCACATGTGGGGAGGCCCTGGCTCCTGAAGTCCCGTTTGCCACTTGGGTCCCCGGGGCCCGAGGCAGGAAAGTTTGGCAATTCCAAGACGCAGAGGGGCTCCATCTGCCAGACTGAGGCTGTCTCCAGTTCCGAGTCATTAGGAAAAACGAGAAATCAGAGAAAAGTATGAAGGGGAGGGACTCGGATTATTCATCCAGACATACACCCTGCCCACCACTGCCAGGACCTACCCAGCTCCACTGACACAACCGTGTGCCCCATGAGGGTCAAGAGTTTTGTCTGTCTGGTGCCAATGCCAAGAAGGGTACACAGCACATAACAGGGCTTCAATAACCATCGGCTGGACGGATGGATGGATGGACAAATGGAGTACTCTAACAGTGCAGATGGATGGATGGATGGATGGATGGATGGATAGATGGATGGAGTACTGTAACAGTGCAGATGGATGGATGGATGGATGGATGGATGGATGGATGGATGGAGTACTGTAACAGTGCAGATGGATGGATGGATGGATGGATGGATGGATGGATGGATGGATGGAGTACTGTAACAGTGCAGATGGATGGATGGATGGATGGACGGAGGGATGGACGGATGGATGGACGGACGGATGGACAGATGGATGGAGTGCTCTAACAGTGCGGATGGGTGGATGGACGGATGGATGGATGGATGGATGGACAGATGGATGGAGTACTGTAACAGTGCAGATGGATGGATGGATGGATGGATGGATGGATGGATGGAGTGCTCTAACAGTGCAGATGGGTGGATGGACAGATGGACGGATGGACGGAGGGATGGAGTGCTCTAACAGTGCGGATGGGTGGATGGACGGATGGATGGACGGACGGATGGACAGATGGATGGAGTGCTCTAACAGTGCGGCCCAAACGGGTTCAAGGGCGGGTTCTGCCCCTTGCTCACTCTAAGTCCCCTCTGTCCCAGGTAAAAGGAGGTCACTAAATCAGACCATCTCTTCGCTCCTTCCAGCTCTCTTGCCCTGGAGCCAGCTGTGTCCAGGTGAGGAACTCTGAGCTTCGGGGCAAGCAGGAAGCATCACTCACACAGTTTAGCTACAAGAGGATTCCAGTGCTGGGCCTTTCCCATCTCCCCTGGGGGTGGGCAGGCCACTGAACTTTCTACACGTTTCAAGCGAGACCTGCACAAGGTCAGAGTGGCAATGAAGTCAGACGGCACAGGGCTCGGGTCTGAGCCCTGCTCCTTCCTGGCTGTGTGACTTACACTCTCTGAGCCTAGTTTCCACATCCACAAAACGTGGACGTAGTGCACTTTGTTGGGTTGTGGAAAGGATTAAGTGAGATGCTGTGCAATCACTTCGCACAGTGCCTGGCGTGCAGAGAGGACTCCATAAATGGGGACCCCCAGGCCCCGTATTTGGGGAACGCTGTGTACTCCCCATAGCCAACCACGAACCTCCATCCAGGGCACATGGATAAGGCAGAGCCCCGTTTTGGGAAGAAGGGCTGACTTCAGGCCAGAAGGAGCCGCAGGAAGGTCCCGTTAAAGGGAGCCCCTCACCTCTTCGTCCTTCTTCCTGCCTGAAACTCAGGCACAACGGCTGGAGACAGGCAGCCACGCTGGCCCGTGAGGAGACCTGAGGGTACAAGCAGGAAGTTAGAAGGAGCTTTGATCCCTGATTACCAGGCGTCTTTACCATAAGAGATAACTATACCTCCAATTTCCTTAAACCCATTGTTACTTGGATTTTATGTTTCGAGTCAGCAAACCTAATCTCTTCTGTTCCCATTTTGCAGATGACAAAAAACAAGGCTCAGAGGGGAGAAGTTCCTACAATTAGCTAAGCCAGGATTTGCATCTGGGTCTCTCTGGCTCCCCTACCACTGATTCTACCAATGAGAGTGTCCCTCCCTCCCAGGCTACCTGCACATGAGCTGGTAGGCAGGACCAGGGCTCAAGGAGCCGGGGGAAGGGAGATATAATCACGGAAGGCTTAACGGAGGAGGTGGCACTTGAGTAGATTCTTAGAGAATGAGTTACTCATACTAACTGAGCCATTCAACCAGCCCTTCGGACAAAAAGGGACATCCCAGATGCCAAACTGTGGCCCTGGGTACAGCATTAGGGCATGTGTGGGGTCCCCAAGACCAGCCCCAGGTTCAGTGAGTCACCAGGAGGATTCACACAACCAGCACGTAGTCTTATCCATCACAGAGAAAGGACCCAAAGCAAAATCAGTAAAAAATGCCTGGGGTGAAGGCCAGAGGGAGCCAGGTGCGCGGAGTCACACAGGAAGCACTTCGCTCCTCCAGCAACAAACTGTGAAAACATGTGAGGTGTTGCCAGCCAGGGATGTCAGCAGAGACCCAGTGCCCACGGCTTTTACTGGGGTCAGCCACCTAGGCTGCGCTTGTCCCCAAACCCCAGACCCCCAGGAGGAAAGCAGGTGCCCAACACAGAGCACCTTGTTTGCACAAGCAGCTTAGGCACAGTGAGCCCTCTTACCAGGGGAGGGCAGGAACCATCCCCCGTCCAAGTTCCCAGAGGCCAGCCGAGGGCTGGACTTGCAAGCAGGCCTAAGTCAGACCTGCTATTCCATCACCTTTCTGCACAGGAATTACACCTCTCCCCCGCTTTCTCTTTTTGAAGTGACTTGGGAAATGTCTTTTTGTGCCTCACGCCCGCCCAGATTTGTTGAGAAAAAATGTAGTTTGCCATGGAGATCATTTCAACACGTTTCCTAGAAAAAGGCCTTGAGTAATGCAAGAACCGAGAAGCAGGCTGGTTTGAGGAGTCCCGTGAGCACCAGGCTGACAGTTAGTCCTGAGCTGCCCACGAACTCAATTTCCAACCCGGGCAAGCATGTGCCAGAAATGAGCTTCGGTTTTCTCCTCAATGAAATGAAGGCCCTGATTTCATCTGTATCAATGAGCTTTTGCCGCGTAACAAAAGCTGGTGGCTTGAAACAGGTATTTCGCATTTCTCACTGTTCTATGGGATGGCGATCTGGGTTGGGCTCAGCTTAGCGGCTCTTCTTCTGGTGTTGCCTGAGCTCACGCATGAGGCTGTCACCAGGTGGCACTCACTGAGAACAGCTGGGCCTTCCTCCAGATGGTCTCCCATCCCCCACCTGGCTAACCCTGGCCGGGTCTCTTGGCAACTGGGCAGAGGTCCAAGGACAAAGGTGGGAGCTACAAAACTTCTTACGGCCCGGTCTCAAAAGTCAGGTAACGTCACATCCTAGGGGTCCAAGAAAGACACGGCCCAGGCCAGGTTCCAGGGGAGGAGAACCAGCCCCCACATCATGATGGGAGCAATGGCAGTGCAAAGGGGTGTGGCTACAGGGAGGGGTGGATATTATAGCTACATATTGCATTAAGCACTCCATTTTCCCTATGCTCCTTTCATTCATTCCTCCTCCTCCTCCTCTTCCCCCTCCTCCCCCTCCTCTTCCTCCTCCTCCTCCTCTTCCTTCTCACTTAAATACCCTCGATGTCCCCAACATTTGCCAGACACAGACTGGTGGGATAAGGAAAGAGCATTTATCTTACAGATATTTCTTTACACCATACTTTTCCCCCCACAAACGATTTGAGTCAACAGAGAAGGTACAAGCAGTAAAATTGTGAATTTTAACCACAGAAGGAAACCAAAACTGAAAGAGGAAAGGAGATGGTGTTTGTTTATTGAGCGCCCGCTATGTCCCAGCTTCTTGCGCCCGTTATCTTCCTCCATCTTTTCCGCGACCCTGTCAAGGGAAACGAACGGATGCTCACTGCAGATAAGCGACTTGCCCAAGTTCAAACCAGGCTGAGCGGCAGAGCTGAAAGCCACACACGGGGCTGGGCCCCCACATCTGTAGGCTACGTTAGAACAGCTGTAAAGAGCTTCAGATTTGACTGTGAGTTTCCCAGCACCCTAAGGGAAAAGGGAAATTGAACATATTGCCCAACTGGTCACTGGACAGGAAAAAGCCAGACATATCATTGTGTGTGTGTGGGGGGGGGGGGGGGGCAACGCCCTTCCTAGCATGGAATTAATTTTTATTTTCTCCAGAGAGAATTGATGAAAGAGCTGGTGGGGTGGGATCGGGGCTCAGCTTTGACTCCAAGAGCAGTGAGCCTTCGTTTTAGATGTGAGGGGGTTACTGAGCACATGCTCATGGTCCCTGGAGAAGGCTCTGCCTCCCGGTGACCATCCTCCTGTGTGTGTGTGTGTGTGTGTGTGTGTGTGTGTGTGTGTGTGTCTCACTTTTCCTCCCTACGCCTCCCTTCGTCTCTTTGGCCTCTATCCCACCCTTGCTCACACCCGAAACACAGAGAGAGCCTGCGACTTGAAACTCCGTTTTTTTAGGAAGTGCTACGTCAGGGGCCTACGCACAGACCCGGCGAGGACAGGACTTCCTCCCCACACGGGCGGGGCGGAGCGAGCGGGAAGGGGCCTGCTGCAGCCGAGGTGACACATCTCTGCCTGCCAGGCCAGCAGCAGCTGGGCCAGCCGTTCACAGGAGCCCTGGCCACCGCTCCCCGGAGGCTTTGGAATGGACTTGTGCCAGCCAGGTAAGCACCGGGGGACTGCCTCGCTGGGCCTCAGTCTCCTCTTCTGTAGAATGGGGCCATAGCGCCTGTCTCAGGATCCTGGCAGGAAACGATGTGTAAACAGAGGTAACACAGGTGGGAATGCAGAAGCACACAGCACGTTACGGGCTCAGGCTAGCTGCCACGCTGGGCCCCAGGCGCCCGGAATGCAGGGAACAAAGCGGGTGTGTCCCTGCCCCCAGGAACTTACATTCCAGAGGAGAGACAGACAGGAAGTGCACTCCTGTCAGGTAGCAACAAGCAGAATGAAGAACAGGCAAGTAGGAGAAGGAGGATGGGACAGGGGAGTGGAGAGGCCAAGGGCAGACCTGAAGGAGGACGGGACAGACCGTGCAAAGGCCCGGAGGTGGGGCTGAGAAAGGTGGCATGTTGGTCCCTACGAGCCTGTCTGCGTGGCACGAAGTCCCCGAGGCCCCGGTTTGGCCTCTGGGGAGTGAGGGTGGCCTTTGGGGAGCAGGGCACCGCCTGGAGCCCGTGGAGGGGCCAGGACCAGGCAGCAGAGGACCGTGGCTGAGACCGTCCCCAGGAAGCAGGACCTGTGTCCGAGGGAAAGAGGAAGGGAGGATGCGCACTGGGAATGGGAGAGAAACGGCGCTGCGTTTTGGGGGGACAGAGAAGAGGGGCCGAGTCCCTGTGCCCTGTGTCTCAGTGGCCGGCGCTGCCCGGACGTCCCGAAGGCCCGGGCTACAGGAGCTGCCCGGTTCCCCAGGTCCAGAGGCGCCAGGCTGGTAGCAGCAGAATCCTTTCTGCAACGGAATCCTAACATGGAGCAGTCCGAGCCCGCCCCTGGGGCCCCTCGCCCCATTTCAGCACCCCCAATTACAGATGGAGCAGGGGAGGCCTGACGGGGACAGTCCTGTGTGTCACTCCCACCTCCTGACTCCCCGTCCAGTGGTCTCTCCCTACCCTGGCTTCTCCCGGGGGCTGTGGGGACAGGGCTCACAGGCAGTCCGGGCTCAGGGAACACATCCTGGGCAGGAGGAGACCAGCGAGGAGCGGCGCCTGGCTCAGGGCCACCGGGCAGATGCGAGGGGCAGAGGAGGCAGTAGTCCCCCCACATGCCTGGCTTTCCATCATTATCGCTTTGTTCTTTGGGGTCACCTACGGGGTCCTCAGGAACAGAGATGGTTGTCCCCAGGATGCAAGTGAGGAAACAGGCTCACCAGAACAAATGGGCAGCCAGTAAATGGCAGAATAGGCCAAGCTCTGAGAGGAGAGAGAGCCCGGGTTACCTTGGGCTGATGTGGGGGTGGGGCAGGGAGGCCAGAAGGGGGCGTCACCGCTCTGCCTTAGGCAGGCCCAGGAGAGAAATGGATTCAATGGGGTCAACAGGAGCAGTCTGTGGAGGATTTGAGGTCTTCATTGATTGCTCTATTCACTCATTCATTCTATAAATGGCCCGCCCTGCGCTGTACAATGCTGGAGCAGCAGAAACCCTGCCATGGGTCCAGCCCAGGGGAGCTGCTGATCTGGAAGAAGGGGGAAAAGGGAACACATCTGAGGGCAATGACCCAGGACAGATGTGCAAATGGGCTCAGACCTGGCGCATGGAAAGAAGCTGCTCTTTCCACATGAGCAGGGGAGATCTGGGAAGACTTCCTGGAGGAAGCAGAAGGAGAAAGGGACGATCATTCCTCTGTTGCCCAGACTGGGTCTTAATCACCCCATGGCTAGGTCACTACCCCTCTGAGCTCAGATTTGTCACCTAATGTGGGCACCTTCAACCTTGCCTGACCTAAACTAAATGAGGATTTGGAGTCAGCCAGACCTGGCTCAGTTCCCAGCTCTGTACCAACCTGCCAGTGGCTATGATGGGCCTCAGTTTTCCCACCTGTACAATGGGCAGGACAGTGGTATAGGTCCCCCAGGGCTGCCTTTGCTCTTCTAGCCATGGGTGTGTGACGTCAGAAGCAGGTCAGGCCCTCTTCCCCAGAACCTGCCAGGAAGGTGAGGGACCCAGGCAACAAACCCCAACATGACCAATGGCCGTACTGGGTTGGTGCAGGGAGGCCAGGTGCAGTTAAAAATAGAGTAGAGACAGCTCAGCTGTGGGTAGGAAGCCACACGCAGCTCAATGCTCACACCCACAGGGCAGGCTGGGGCGGGAGCAGCTCTGCCCCCCCCACCCCACCCCCCCCCACACACACACACACAGCCCCTCGGCCCCAGTGGCCCTCCCACCAGCCTCTGCGGAGCCGCTGCCCGTAGGGCCCAGGAGAGCACCTCGCTGTGCCCTGGAAAAGAGGAACCAGGCCAGCTGTCCTGGAAGCAGGGCTGCAAGCAGAATGGGTTCTAAAATTACAATGGGAAAGAGGAAGGACAAAGGGGAAGTGGAGAGGAGTGGGGCAGATGGCCGGGCGGCACCAGGCCACACACCCGGGCGGCCCCGTGGCCAGCCGGGGGCAGAGGGCAGCCCCAGCACAGGCATGGGTGTGGTCAGTGTAAAGGTGCCTCTGGGAGGTGTGAAAAGCACAGAGCCAAGTGGGGGTGACGGTTGTTATTACCACGTTGGGTTTCTTGTGTTTTATTACTGTTTTATTTTATTACTAGAGACCTAGTTCATGAAATTCGTGCACGGGGGCGCGGGGGCGGGGGGCGCTCAGCCTGGCCTGCACCCTCTCCAATCCAGGACCCCTGTGTGATTGGGCCTAAACCGGCAGTCGGACATCCCTCTCGCAATCTGGACATCTGGCTCCTAACCACTCGCCTGCCTGCCTGTCTAATCACCCCTAACCCCTCTGCCTGCCTGACTGACTGATCGCCCCTAACCACCTCTGCCTACCTACCTGATCGCCCCTAACTGCTCCCCTGCTGACCTGATCACCCCTAACTGCTCCAGTGCCTGCCTGATGGCCCCAACGGCCTCTGCCTCGGCCTCCGCCACTGCGGCTTTGTCCGGAAGGACATCCAGAAGGACGTTTGGCTGTCCGGTCTAATTAGCATATTATGCTTTTATTAGTGATGATGTTTAAAAGCCTACCCCTGTGAGCCACACCAGTCCCTGAAACAGGCTTGGAATCAGAAGTGGACCCTCTCAGCTCATGTCCTTCTCACACTCCCTGAACTCAGCGTCCTCAACTCTGAAATGGGAAGAAATCCCCACTTTTTAGCCAATAGGTGGAGGGTCAGAAGGTGCCTACATACCACCTTCCAGCTGTGTCACCTGGGGCAGGTCACGTGACCCCTCTGAGCCTCAGGTGTCTTGTCTATACAGTGAGGTGAGAAATACCTTTCTTCTTCTAGAGCTGTCATGTGGATCAAAGGAGATCTGGGTGGGAAGAGCCTAGAGCACACGGGGCCTGGCACATAGTAGGTGCACAGCTAGCACCCCTTTCCTTCGCCAGCGGCTTAGCTAGTTTTTGAGCCACACGACCCCAGGCCTGCTGCGGCGAGTGGGAAGGAGGCGGGAGAGGGTGATGCCCAGCGGAGCACGGGAGGAAGCAGAGGCGCTCCTGCAGAGAGGAGAAGGAAGGTTATTCCGGGCACGGGGAACAGCATACGCAAAGGCCTATGGGAAAGAGCACATGAGAGCAAGTGAAGGGCGGCCAGGGAGGCCTCAAGTCCGGGGCAGGGGGCGGGGCACGGGGTGTGGTGAGGATGGGGGTTGGAGTCTTTATCCCCAGGACAAGGGGCTGCCATGGGAGGCTGGGTTGGAAGGGCAGATGGAGGCAGGGAGCCATGAGACAGGAACCGGTGGTCAGGTGGGGGGCGAGGGGGCTATGCAAACAGAAGAGATGGGTGGGGCTTGGTGAGAGAGGAGACAGGAGGGTGAGGGAGGTGAGGGTCCAGGTGCCTCCTGGGGTTGTGGCCGGTGTGTCTCAGGGACCATCCTAGCGCCCAGGGAGCTCAGGAAGAATTGAGGGGAAATTCTAGGACTTCTGTTTTGGTCCAAACGGCAAACAAGATGACGGCCAGTGCCCAGAGGGGTAGCAGGGTCTGAAACTCAGGGAGCAGTTGGAGCTGAGGGGCTGTGTGTGGCTCCTTGGCCCAAGAGAAGACAAGGGAAGTAAAGAGAGACAGTGGGTGAGGAGAAGGCAGCCTAGGCCTGGGTCACGAGAGCCCATGGCCCAGCCCTTGACCATCTACAGTGGGGATTGTGCATAGAAACACTGAAACTCAGCCAGGTCTCTCCCCAACCCCTTTGGCATCCACATGGCCTCCCCCAGCAGGTGTACCCTGGCCAGAAGCCCACCTCAAAACACAAGCCCCAGCCAACAGGAAAGCAGCAGGAAGTAAACAAACAAAACAAAGAATCTGATCCTTCACCCCACGGTCAACTAGAGGTGACTGGGTCTTTCCACGACAGCACTCAGCCCCCCCTCCCGCTCCTGCAGTGCCGCCTCCCTGCCATGCCCTTGCTCCTGACTCCACACGGACGGACGGCCCCTCACGCCTTCCATCCCCACGTGAATCCTGGGACACAGTCTTGGGTGTCTGCAAACCAGGGTTCTGATCCCAGCACTGCCACCTCTTGGCTGTGTGACTTAGGGCAAGTCACTTTGCCTCTCTGAGCCTGTGTCTTAAACTAAAAAAGAGCCACTTGACAGAGTCGTCAGGATGAAATGACAAGTTATATGACGCTACCAGCATAGGTGGGTGTTTCTGAGCTTAAGGTGTAATGGAGCTCTTGCTTTGTGCCCTGGTGTTGGGGCCACCTCCCCCTCCCTCTGGAAACCAGGAACTCCAGGCCTGCAGAGCTCAGAGTTGCAGGAACAGAAAGGAAAACTCCTGAGTGAGTCACTAGGGGGTGGATCTGTGTAGATTTCCGACTGGGGACAAAGCCCCACTTAATGGCCACTGATTTAGGGTGCAGAGGATGGTGCCCATCCAGGCAGGATGTGGTCTCCAAGCTGACACCGCAGCTGCACCTTCAAGAGGCTCATTGCTCAAGCATCTACCAGGCCAGCACCCCCCCAGCATGTGGTGGGGAAATGTTGATCGGACCAGTGGGACCGTGGCTACATGCTCCACCCACACGTCCTTTTTTTTTTTTTTTAATATATTTTATTGATTTTTTACAGAGAGGAAGGGAGAGAGATAGAGAGTTAGAAACATCGATGAGAGAGAAACATCGATCAGCTGCCTCCTGCACATCTCCCACCGGAGATATGCCCACAACCCAGGTACCTGCCCTTGACCGGAATCGAACCTGGGACCCTTCAGTCCGCAGGCCGACGCTCTATCCACTGAGCCAAACCGGTTTCGGCCACCCACACGTCCTTTACTGTAAAGAGGGTCCCTCCATCTGATGTGATGTCATGCAGCGTTCTGTGTCGGAGGATGAAACCCTCTGGGAGCCCTTGGAGGCCGATGCGGCCGAGGCTCTGTGGGCAGGAAAGGGCACACACATCCAGAACATGTGTGAGTTCTGGTCAAGATAGATTGCTGGTCTTGGCAGAAGAGAAGGGATCCCGCGTGATCAACCAGCTGCCAAGTTGTTGGTTGGGCTTCTCAGGAAACCACGGTCGCTGTTGCTGGCAAGTAGGCAAGTCAGCAGTGGCGGTAGCTCGGGAAGCCTGGCGAGTGGGTCTACCCAGAGTCCTTGCCCAGGCCACACGGCTACTTTATGCATGTGCCGTTGTACCAGCACTGGGCTGGCCAGTCAGACTGGCTGATGTCAACTGGCCGAGTCTTGGTGGTTGAGTGCCTCTCCTGTGATGGGTGCGTGCTGGGAAGCATAAATGTGCTTTATGTCTTCCCACTCTGTGCCCACTCCCATAGGCCGTCGACTTGCCTCTTCCCCAGCTCTCTCTGTTCGCAGACTTCTAATCCTTCTTCTTCTTAGCCTCTGGCCAAAGAGTCAAGCTACTCTCTACTGCCCATGATTGCATGTATATTCTTACTTCCCGACACTTCTCTTTCCACATGAGGAGGTTGACCAGGTGCCCTGCCCAAAGTTCTGCCCATTGGAAGGACTTCTCACCACTGTCTCCACAGCACCTTTGAGTCACACAAACACCGAGCCACACATCCTAGAACCTAGCTCAGGCATTTTCCTCCTTTGTCAGAAGATCACCAGGGACCCGCCTGTGCAGCCATGGTGTGAGCTGAGGGACACGCCTTGGTGCCACAGCAGAGGATGACATGGGGGTCTGGGCCACCCGTCCATGGAGCTGGCTGGAGTCTTCTGTTTCTGCTCACGCTTGCTACTAGGTGAACCACTTACAATGAAGAGCTATTGGGCGTCTTGACTTTATGACTTGAAGGGTCAGACGGACCCATCTTGGCTACTTGGCCAAGGGAATCCTGACCATATACTACACTTGCCACAGTGTTGCAAGACCCTTCCCTCTGGGGACACAGCCTCTTCTGCAGTCAATAGATTTGGGGCCTGATAACTGGCTCAGGTCCAGAAATGAGGCAAGGGGTCTTGATTTTTTGTGCTGTCGCTGCCCTTTCGGAGGGACATATCCTTAAGCAGAGCAGCTCCATTTGACTGAGGTAGTTTCCTGGAGAGGGACCCAGCATCAAGTGGTCAGCAGGCTACCCGCCCCCCGATCCCCAGCAGCTGAGAGAATGGACACCTGGGTCCTGAAGAAGAGAGCTGCATGGCACAGCAGAGCACCCATTATACACATGTTGGACCCTTACCATATGCCAGATACGTTGAACAACACTCAGCTCTTTTAATCCTGACAACCACACTCTAGGTAAGGGTGATGGTTCGTGACTCCCAGATCAGGACACTGCACTGGTTACATTTCAGGACTGATTAACAACAAGACTCAGAATAACAGTGACAGTGACATTCCCAAAACTGATTTCTCTCTCGGTGAAAAGTCCGACTGGGGAGCTGCTGGTGAGGTGAATATGATGACTTTTCTCCACACAGTTGCCCAGGGCCCAGTCTCCTTCTAGCTCGCTGTCCTGCCATCTCAATACCCAGCTTCCATCTCAAAGTCCAAGACGGCTACTCCGTCAACAGGAGGGAGAAGTAGGGGAATGGAGGACTTGATGTTCTCTGCATTCATTCAGGAGAAGTAGTATCTGTCCTCGTAAAACCTTTAAGAAATGGTTTTACACTTCCCAAAGCGAGGACTTGAAAGTCAGGAAGGGTTTGGACAGGCAGACAGGACCAGGTGTGCGGTGGAGGAACTGCATAGGCAAAGGCAGGGGAGTAAGATGGAGAGTGAGACAACCCAGGGCAGTGAGGAGCTGGCAGGCCGGACTGGCAGGCTGTGGTTGAGAGTGGTGGGGAGAAGGCTGGCTGGAGAGGCCAGGGAGACTGTGGAGGACCAGAGGAGGGCTTTTCCTTCAAGTGATGGGGAGTCCATGGAGATTTTGACCAGGAGAGTGTTGTAGCTGGAACAGGAAGCACAACTGGGGAGTAGAAGCAAGCCAGCTGGCCCGGCATGTGGGAATCATCCTAGCACCTTGCGCAGAATTCTGACCAACACACACTCATCTCCTTTAATTCATTTCCAGGTGACGTGGAAAAAGCTTTGTAGTTATCCCAATCCACGGTCGGCCCTGGTTCAGCAGTTCATCCCTGTAGGACCTTAACCAGGTCAACTCACTGCTCTGAGCTTCAGTGTCTGGGACAGAAACTGTCAGATGTCCCCCAAAATCTAGTCTCCCCACCTCACATAGTAAGGCCCACCCTATTACAGGCTCATTTCCCAGCCTCCCTTGCAGCTATGTGTGACCATGGGACTACATCTGGCCAATAGGGTGTGAAGCAAAATGATACACCACTTCCTGGTTGTGCAAATAAATAAGTGAATAAATGAGAGACATGTGGTCCAGTAAAAGAATAAACTAAAGTTCCAGGGAGGAATGAATGCCTTCCTTATTGGCTCTTTCTAACTGCTGAGGATGCAGCAACGAACAAAATAATGAGTGTAATGAATGCAATAGAAAAGATGCAAGTACATGAGATAATTTCAGGGCACCTGTACCAGGAGGGTAGTAGAAACAGAAAGCTGGGTAGGAGGGGGAGGCAGGGGAGGGGCTGACTTAGACAGAGTGGTCAGGGAAGGCCTCTTGGAGGTGGTGACATCCAAGCCCAGGCTTGAGTGAAAAGGGCCAGCGAGTCATGGGTTTCTGGAGGGAAGAGGGCCCTGAGAGCTAGCTGGTGCGGCTGGAGCTGAGGGGTGAGGGGAGGGCAGTGAGTGAGCCAGTGACCACACGGCCTTCTCTCTCCAGACCCCGCGGAGCTGAGCAGCGGGGAGACTGAGGAGCTGCAGCGGATCAAATGGCACCGGAAGCAGCTTCTGGATGACATCCAGGTGAGTGCACACTCACAATGGTGCATGTGAGTCACTCACGCACTCACACTGACGCACCCTCAGCCCCTGCTGCGTGTGGAGCCCGCCTGCGGCTCTACAGCCTCCTCGCGTGGTGGGGTCCCCCAGCGCTCGTCCCCGTCCTGAAACGGGGCTTCGTCCCCTCCTAAAACAGGGATCATTAGGTCAACATCATGCCAATCCATGCCCAGCACTTGCCAAGTCACCAGTTTTTCAAATGTTAGCACATCTGGTTCTCAGCAGCCTCTGAGACACTCTGGTTCTGTTCCTGGAATATGCTGAGCCCAGGGCTGCCCCGGGGCCTTTGCACTCACCGTCCCCTCTGCCTGGGACTCTCCCAAGCTCTCGTCATGGCTCCTCCTCATTACTTCATTCTCAGCTCATGTGCCGTCTCCTCTTAGCAGCTACAGTTGCTGGGACCTCACCCCAGCCTGACACATGTCCACCTGTTTCTTAAAGGTTTTACAAGTGTGCAGGGCAGAGTGAAGGTACAGAAGGAAGGGGCACTCAGCAGGTATTTTATTGAGCACCTACCATGTGCCAGACATTTGCTATGTCATCACTGCGATCATTATCTGCACAGTCATTTCATGCCCCATGACCATCACAATCCCAACCCCACTAACTGTGAGCTCTGTGTAAGTGGGCCTGGGTCCGTCTTGCCCACCCCTGTATTTGCAACCCAACAGTCAGAGCGTAATAGGTGCTCAATTAATACTTGTGAGTGAACCCCCAGTTTATTTGTGGGGAAGCCACTCGGTGACTCAGCTGAGATCACATGGACAGGAGCTGACTGGGCACAGATATGGGCTCCAGGCCCCATGCTGTCCTTGTGTCCCAGAACAAGCCCCTGGGGCCACCCCATCCCACAGATCTCAGGGAAGAAGCGGGGGGTGGCGCTGGGTGCCTTTTAGGGGCTCATGCTGCTGCCCTGCAGGGGAATGCTGGACAAGCTGCCACCTCTCCCTGTCTGCCCAATGGTGGCAGTTGGCTGAGGCAGGGCTTCTCGCTGCCACTGTTGCCCCTTCAGGGGCAAGACAGAACAGGCTGGGGGGGATCTGGGAAAGCAGAGGCTGAGTCAGACCTTAGGTGACATGTCACCTCGCCTCTCTGCATCTTAATGTCCTCTTCTGCAAGCCCCATGGGATGGCAAAGTCCCTGAGAAGAGGCCAGAGCTGTCTAGTGCAGCCGTGGGCAAACTACGGCCCGTTTGAAATGAATAAAACTAAAAAAAAATAAAGACCGTACCCTTTTATGTAATGATGTTTACTTTGAATTTATATTAGTTCACACAAACACTCCATCCATGCTTTTGTTCCGGCCCTCCGGTCCAGTTGAAGAACCCATTGTGGCCCTCGAGTCAAAAAGTTTGCCCACCCCTGGTCTAGTGCCTGGTGCACCCACGGTACCTGGCACACAGCGGGCACAAGTGGCAGAGTAAACAGATGGGGGGAAGCTGGAGAGGATCCGGGCCCTCCCAGGGCTGGAATCTGTGCCTTCTGCCTGGGGACGGGGGCAGTGGGAGCCATGGAAGGAATTTGAGCAGGGGCAGGGCAGGCACCAGTCTGCTTCAAAAAGATGGCAGGTGGGCGGAGGAAGGCTGGTCGGGTGGGCTTGGCAGGATGGCAGGAGACTCTACAGCTGCAGAGGAGAAAGAGGGGAAAGCCGGGAATAGGGTGGGGACTTGGGGACGACACCCCCATGTCAGGAGATGGTGGAAGAAAGAGAGTAGACGGAAGCAGTTTGGTTTGGGACTTTGAGGACAGGAGACCTCCAGGATGGGGATCTGTCAGGAGAGAGCAATGTGGGGGTCACGCCGGGGTGGGAGTGGGTGGGGGAGAGTTGTGAAACCCCTTCTATCCCAGCTTCCACCCCCTGACTCTCCCTCCCTATCCTGCCCCTCCCCCACTGCCACCCACAGAAGCTGAAGGATGAGATCGAGGATGTGTTTGCCCAAATCGACTGCTTCGAGATTTCAGAGGAGAGGTGAGGTGTTGGCCAGGGGGCCCTGGAAGTTGCCATGGTGTCGTCCTAAGGATGTCACACACCATGAATGAGCAGGGCTATGCCTGGTCTGGGCCCTGGGGAAGTCAGGGAGGGGGCCCTGGAGGAGGAGGCAGGACCGTGAGACAGGAGCAGGGCTGGCTGGTCCCTGCTTCCAAGCACCTCCCTCTCTTGAGAGACAGCCCCATCCTCCCATCCTCTCCACCCAAAGTCTCTTCCGACCCACCCTGACCTACCCCTTGACCAATCACCACCCAGGAGCATCTCGGGATGGGAGGGGAGAAGGCAAACTCAGCCCCAAGGATGAGGACAGAGAAGCCAAGGCCTCAGGGGTAGGAGCCTGGCCTGTGACTCACCCTCAGGGTGTCATTCAGCTGCCCCTGCTATGGGAAGGCTCCCCACTGGCTGTCACCTGGGGCTGGTCCCCTCCCCTCTTGGGGCCTCAGTTTTCCTCAGTTGTGAGATGAGAAGGTTGATCCTGACATCATCCCATAGGGCCCCAGTATCCCAGGAAGTCCCCACCCTGCCCTGCCACCCCGGAGCTCTCTGCCGCCTCCACCTGTCTGGCCCCCACACGTGCACACAGACACTCCCATGCACTCCCATCCCGTCTCTAGACTCCCTCCCTGCTCAGGCCCAACCATAACACAGGACATGTCCAGAGCACCAGCCACCTGCTGTTTCCAGCCCTTTAGCCTCCCAACAGTGCTGGGAGCTGGGGTGATGCTGCCCCATTTTACAGATGAGGAACTGAGTTCCAGAGAGATGAGGGGCTCTCCCTAAGTGGCTGGGCCAGCAAGGGGTGGGGCCCATTTGCACCAAGAGGCTGGCCCCACCTGTGCTCTCCCCCCAGCCTCCTGTCATCTTGCCCGCACTCCAGCCCGGGGGGGTCGGGCGGGGGGAGGGCCCTAAGTGCTCCTCCTGAGAAATCTGGGTTCTCAAGGCCATGGTGCTGGGCCCGTTGGGAGAGTCTGGTGTGGTGGCTCTGGGAGGGCCCAGACCCTGCATTTCTCATGCTCACAAGGCCTGCCCCCCGCCGCCCTCCCCCCCCCACCCCCCGTCCCCGGAGGCCCCTCGGTAATATTGGCTCTAACTGAGGGGACAGGAGTCGCAGGGTGTCTGAGGTCCTTGGAGACTGGCTGGAAGGGCATGCCCTGGGGTCCTGGGGCAGCCCACGCTGACACCTTTGTGCCCACAGCCGGATGGCCCAGAAGGAGAAGGAGCTATGCATTGGGCGCAAGAAGTTCAACATGGACCCCGTGAAGGTAGGCAGGATGAGGGGCTGGACTCACGGGGCCGGGTTGCTGCATGCCGGCCCCCTTCGTAATGCTCTCGCTTCCCTCCGCTGACACTGTAACCCATCCTGCAGATGAGGAGGCTGAGACCAGCAGGGCTCAGCCTCCTGTCCAGTCCTCCCGGGCACAGCAGCCCAGGCGTGAGGTGGGAGCCAGGAGGTGGGGGTCCACGACGGCCATGGCCCTGGGCTCCCTGGGCACTAGGCCTGCTTCCTCCTCTGTGGGGAGGGCATCAGACACGATGACCCTTAGGTTCTGGGGCTCAGTCTCCAGAAGTACCTTCCAGACGCAGGTCCGGGGGAGCCAGGTCTGGCTGCAGGCACAGAGCGCTGAGGGCCCAGCTCCCCTCTCCCCTCCCCCAGCCCCGCCCCTGCCCTGCTGGAGGGCTGCGGGCTCCTTTCCTGTGGGAACACAGACAGGAGGAAGCTGAGCTGACACAGAGCGGAGGCGGGCAGGGCAGCCAAGGGGCCTGGAAATTCACTGCTCTGGCTCCAAAGGCTGCCTGCCCTCCCTGTCACAGGCCCACGGCCTCACCCACCCACTCACCCCCCACAGCCTCACCCACCCACTCGCCCCCCACAGCATCACCCACCCACTCGCCCCCCACGGCCTCACCCACCCACTCGCCCCCCACGGCCCCACCCGCCCACTCACCCCCCACGGCCCCACCCGCCCACTCACCCCCCACGGCCCCACCCGCCCACTCACCCCCCACGGCCCCACCCGCCCACTCACCCCCCACGGCCCCACCCACCCACTCACCCCCCACGGCCTCACCCACCCACTCACCCCCCACGGCCTCACCCGTCCACTCGCCCCCCACGGCCCCACCCGCCCACTCGCCCCCCACGGCCCCACCCGCCCACTCGCCCCCCACGGCCCCACCCGCCCACTCGCCCCCCACGGCCCCACCCGCCCACTCGCCCCCCACGGCCCCACCCGCCCACTCGCCCCCCACGGCCTCACCCACCCACTCACCCCCCACAGCCTCACCCACCCACTCACCCCCCACGGCCTCACCCACCCACTCACCTCCCACAGCCCCAGAAATTGGACTCCTCTGCCCCATACCAGGGACCACACACACACACTCACACTCCCCGCCCGAGCACCTGGGAAGGGCCACTCAGGGGTCCCCAGGACCCTCTGCCTTGCATTCAGAGCCCCCCACAAACTGTCCCCCCAGCTTCCAGAAGCCCCTTTCACCAAAAGGAACATGAAGGACCCATCACAGAAAACCAGGGGGCAGTCTCTCCAATGCCTAAAATGAGAAGGATGGACTCCGAGAGCCGGAGTCGTGTGGAGAGACGTTGTGATATTGTCAAATCAGAAAAGCAGGTTTTGGTGCGAAGGCGTGACCCGCTCCCACTTCCATCTAGAAAGGGAGAGAAGGCCACCGTGGCACTGCCTACCTCTGAGTGGTGGGACTTGGGCAATTTCTCCTTTTGATTTTGTGTTTTCCTAATTCTTATGCAACGGACATAGATTACTTGCCAGAAAACAAAGGAAACACCCTTTTTAAATAATGTGAACTTTTAGGGGACAAAAGGAATGGCTGAATCACTGAATCTTAACATTTTAAATCAATGGAATCATTGACGCTTATAGTCAAAGCGTGTCAGACTGAGGGGAACCCTGGGGAGCATCTGGCATGAACCTGGCAGACACCCCGTCTCTCTTTGCATGCCTCCAGTGATGGGGAACTCACCACCTTACACAGGCAGCTTCTATTAAGGAGGGACACAACTTCCCAGAACAGGCTGTGCCAATGCCAGATGCCAGGCCCCGGGGCTTGGGCCGCGGGGGCTCCCTCCCTTCCTCCTCCCAGGCTGGCTGCTCATGGCTCTGTGTACCATGTCCAGGGCATCCAGTATCTCATTGAACACAAGCTGCTGACCTCCAATGCCCAGGACATTGCCCGGTTCCTGTACAAGGGCGAGGGTCTCAACAAGACGGCCATCGGTACCTACTTGGGGGAGAGGTAAGGGGGCGGGGCCTGAGGGAGGCAGGGAATGGAGTGTGCAGGTGTGTGCACGCAGGTGAGTGTAGATGTGTATGTTCAGGTGAGTGAGGGAGTGAATTATGTCAGGAAAGTCATAACTCCTGCAGCTTGAGGAGGCTGTCCCTTCCCTCCAGATGCTGAGCCAAAGCCTTCCTTCCTTCCTTCCTTCCTTCCTTCCTTCCTTCCTTCCTTCCTTCCTTCCTTCCTCATTTCCTTCCTTCCTTCTTTCCTTCCTTCAACAGGTAGACATTTGTTTGTATCTATCCTATGCCAGGCACTGTTCTAAGCCCCGGATTTAGACCAGTGACCAAGACAGACAAAACTCCTGCCCTCGGGAAGGACAGATTCCAGTGGGGAAGACAGATTCCTAAATATGTAAAACCTGTTAGAAAAATTATAAATTCTTTGGAATCCAAATAAAGCAGGGACGGGAGGTGAGAGAAGCTGGGGACCACAGGGCAAGGGCTGTGACTTTAGCATGGACAGGATGTTCGACTGAAACTTAAAGGGGGAGAGCAAGGTAGACATCTAGGGGAAGAGCACTCCAGGCAGAGGGAACAGCATGTGCAAAGGCCCTGGGGCAGAAGCATGCATGAGGAACAGCAGGCTGGCGAGACTGGAAGAGAGCAAAGGAAGGAGGGAGCAAGTAGTAGGTGACAAGGTAAGGGTCCACGGGAGGCTCTGGGCAGAGGAGTGTCTGAGAGGACCCCTCTGGCTGCTGGGTTGGGGGGCTGGGACTGCAAGGGACCCGGATGGAGCTGGGCCAGCGAGCCAGCCACCCTTCTCGTAGGCTCCTCAGAGGACCCATTTCTCCTGAGCAAGCAGGGAGCGCGGGTGGCAAGAAGGGCAGCACCCCCTGGTCTAAGAGCCGGGAAGAGGGAGGCACAGGGGTCGGCATAGTCGTCTCGGTTGCACAGATCAGGACACTGGGGCTGGGGGAGATCAAAGTGGCTTGAGTGGCGTCCCAGGCGGGCAGTGACAGAGGGAGGGTCTGACTCAGGGAAAGCCTTCCAAAGCCAGGCTCGCATCCCGAGTGAGAGCAGCGCTGGTGAGCGGTGGGCGTGGGGGGGGTCTGTTCAGGTGTGGGGGGCACGGTGTGCACGTGGGAGGGGGTGCTGTGGGGTCAGACAGATGTGAGCAGGCCAGATAGAGGCTGGACCCAGAAGGAGGACATCTGTCCCCTCCTGTCCCTTCCCCACCTCCATCCCCTCCAGGCGGTTCATACCAGAAAGTTCCCCAATGCATCCCTCTTTCCCTTCTGCCCCCTCCCCAGGGACCCCATCAACCTGCAGGTCCTCCAGGCCTTTGTGGACTGCCACGAGTTCGCCAACCTCAACCTCGTCCAGGCCCTCAGGTGAGTGGTCCAGGGCCTGCCCACGATGGTGGCACAGCCAGGGTGGGGCTGCTGGGGGCATCACGAGCCACACGGCTAAGAGCACAAAGTGTCAGGAGCCAAAATGAATGAATGGCAGTGCCCGCCGCATGCAGCTGGGGCTGCTGAGACAATTGGCTGGACCACCTGGAACGGCACCTGGTTCATTTCTGCTGCTGCTGCTGGTATTACTATGTTACAACATTACTATAATAATACTTAATCACTGGAATTGTTATTACGATTATTACTGCCATTCTCACTACTTTTCAGAATAGTGCTTGTTTTATTTATTTTATTAATACAGCTTAGCATGTATTGCATTATTATTACGTATTATCCTATATAATAAAAGACTAATATGCAAATTGTCCCCTCGACTGGGAGTTAGACCAGCGGATGGGGCTGGCCAACCATTCTCGGCCCCTCCCCCTGGCCAGCCCCGCCCCCGATCGCCCCCCTCCACCCTGATCAGGGGCGGGGCCGGCCAACCAACCGCCTTTGGCCCCTCCCTCAGGCAGGCCAGCGGACCCCACCTGTGCATGAATTTGTGCACCGGGCCTCTGGTTTTCTACCAGAATATTATTGCGCCTACTTTATTTTTACAATTACAGCGGCATTATAGCATGTCTGTTAGGAGCACAGACTCTGGAGCCAGACTGCCCAGTTCATATCTCCGTTCTGCCACTCACCCCCTGTGTGGCTTTGGGCAAGTCACCAAAAAACCTCGCAGTGCCTGTTTCTGCATCTGTAAAATGGGGATAATAATAGTACAACCTCATACACTTGTGAGAACTAAGTGAGAACGTGCTTAGAATTGGGCCCACAGTAAGTGTTTAGGGAATCTTGGAAAATTAGCTCCCAAAAGGGGGCCTTTGAGCTGGGCTTTAGAGGATGAATAGGAGTTTTCAGGGCAGAGAAGAAAGGAGCCACCACTATGCAGGCAATGTGGCCTTCCCTCTAACTCATGCTCTTTGAGAGAGAGGGCTAGTTTCCAGTAGTCATTCGCTCACTCATTCACTCACTCAACAAGGCCTGTGGAGCAGATGCTGGGTGCCTGGGGCTGGCCCAGGGCCCACAGTCAGACCGCAGTACCTGATGGCCAGGCAGGGAGAGCTGCAGAACCCGGGCAGGCAGGGAGTCCCGCTCCGGCTGAGGTGCACTGGGCCACAAAAGGTGCGAGGACTCAGACGGGCAGAGGGCAGCACAAGCTCAGCTCTGTATTCTGGGGGAAGGAAAAAAAAGGCATTTCTTGGAAACCTCCTGCATGCCCGGTGCTTGCAGAGCTTGGCTGACAGATTCGCCCGTTTACAGGATAATGGACTAAGCCTGGGAGAGGCAGACTGGCTTGGCCAGGGTCCCCCCGAGAGCCCCACCCACCCCGCTGCCCACAGCCCTGTTCCTCCCCCAGGCAGTTCCTCTGGAGCTTCCGGCTGCCGGGCGAGGCCCAGAAGATTGACCGGATGATGGAGACGTTTGCCACTCGCTACTGCTTCTGCAACCCAGGCGTCTTCCAGTCCACAGGTGCCCGTGTGGGGCGGGACCCGGGGCTCCGGACCCCTTAAGCCAGCGGTTCTCAACCTGAGGGTCGCAACCCCTTGGGGGGTCGAACGACCCTTTCACGGGGGTCGCCTAAGACCATCGGAAAACACCTATATAATTACATATTGTTTTTGTGATTCATCACTATGCTTTAATTATGTTCAATTTGTAACAATGAAATTGGGGGGTCACCACAACATGAGGAACTGTATTAAAGGGTCGCAGCATTAGGAAGGTTGAGAACCACTGTCCTTAACACCTAGAGTGCCCGGGGAGCGTGATCGCGCTCCTCCCGACTTTTGCCAAAAATGCCGGGAGCACTATCAAAGCTTCGAAATGGCGTCCAGTTCTAAGTCTGCTTTTATTAGTGATGATGATATTGCTAAATATGTCAATGTAGTAAAGGTTTCCTTAAGTTTTTGAATATGTAACTTCATTTACCTGCGATTCATAATTTTTTTCCTAAACTGCTGTAAAATCAGCAAAAATGCCTTGGCAATTTTAGCATAGTTCCTAGGATATTGGTTGGCACTCAAAGGGTTAAGCATCACCAGGCACGAATCTGCCTCCCAAAGCACCATGCTTACCCCACTCCCTCTGGTTTCTCCCAGTACCCAGACCCTGGAAGCCCAGATCATTCCAAGCCCTCACTGAGCACCAGCCCTGTGCCAGCCCCTCTATTGGGCACTTGTTGGGCAGAGCTGCCGCTCATGCTCCTCGGGGGAGGAGGCAGGAAACCATGGCCCAGGGTGCTGGGCAGCAGCACCTGTCTGAGGGCAGGGACTGGGGAGTCAGCATGTCCAGGATGGCTTCCCAGAGGCAGTGGGGTCTGAATGGGGTTTTGAAGGATGAATAAGAGTTCTCCAGAAGATCAAGGGCCGTGGTCGGCAAACCGCAACTCGCGAGCCACATGCGGCTCTTTGGTCGCTTGAGTGTGGCTCTTCCACAAAATACCACGGGCGGGCGCACACGTACAGTGCGATTGAAACTTCGTGGCCCATGCGCAGAAGTCGGTATTTTGTGGAAGAGCCACACTCAAGGGGCCAAAGAGCCGCATGTGGCTCACAAGCCGCCGTTTGCCCAGCCGCAGTTTGGTCAAGGGGATAAAGGGCAGTTTGAGCAGGAGTTCTAGTTCAAGCAAAGGCCCTGGGCAGGACATAGCCGGACTTCCCTGGCTCTGGACACACACCCCAGAGCAGCAGTCACCTCCCTCCCAAATGCTCCGCCCAGCGCGCAGCCTCGCTGCCTCGCACGTGAACATCTGGATCCGAGAACAGGGGCCCCCCGATGCGGCCAGATTACCAAGCAGCACTGACTAAGCCCTGAACAGCGGTGCCAACAATAAGTGCTCCCCGAGACCCGGGAGGCAGAGAACAGCGTGGGCAGAGGGGCTGGCGGGCTCGGTGGGGCTGAGCGCTGGAGCTGAGGAGGACCTGACTGGGTAGAAAAGGGGAGGGGAGGGGAGGGGACGCCTGGCAGGGGCCCCGCAAGAGCAAAAGTGCTGGGGTGGGAAGCACCCCGGCCTCCTGGCTGTGGCCGCGGGAGTGGCTTTGGAGCAGGGAGTCCAGTAGGAGTGGAAGGTGAGCCCGGCCTCGAATGCCAAGCCAGGAGGAGAGGGGGCCCTGGAGAGGCCGACCCTTGGTCCCTAGGAGGAGCCGGGGCAGAGGAGGGGAGAGCGGCCAGGGCAGGCTCTGACCCGCTGTCCCCACCCGCAGACACCTGCTACGTCCTGTCCTTCTCCATCATCATGCTCAACACCAGCCTCCACAACCCCAACGTCCGGGACAAGCCGCCCTTCGAGCGCTTTGTGTCCATGAACCGCGGCATCAACGCCGGCAGCGACCTGCCCGAGGACCAGCTGCGGGTAAGGGGGCATGGCCTCGCCCACCCCGGCACTGATGGGCAGCCCGAGGTTGGCGACTGTCTGGAGACGGACCCCCGTAAGAGGCTGGTCCTGGGATCCCCCTCCCACGTGGCCCCCATGTTCGTAGACCACCCAGGAGGTCCTGCCAGGCCTCAAGCTTTGAGGGACTCTGGCATCCATCATTCACACCTTCCAGAAAGGGCGCCTCACACAGCCCGTCTATTTCTTGGAATCCCAGATTCTTAGATGCTGAGTGCGTCAGAGCTGAAAACCCTCACGCTCTCCCCGCTTCGGAGGGAGGAAATTGAGGTCTCCCGCAGGCTGCACATCAGCTCAAGGGCTGAGCAGAGCCCAGGGTTCCCGTCTCCTCGTCAAGCAGCGCCCGCCCCGCCACCCTGCTCCAGGCCCGGTGGAGTACAGCCCTGGGTGACTCCTGCTGTGCTCGCCATGGGAACACGGCCATGGAGACACAGAGGACACTACCTCCCTCTCCTGGGGGCAGGGAAAGGTGTCGCCCTAGAAGGCTCCACAGAGGGGGTGACTTTGAACTGGGCCTTGCAGACTGAACAGGAGTTTCCCCCGAGGAGAAGCAGAGAAAGGTCCCTTCCGAAAGAGGAAGCAGCCAGAACCCAGGCCTGGCCTGGTTGGGGAAGGGAGGGGAGTCCGGATTGGCAGGCTGGGGTGTGGGTGCCTGTGGACAGTGATGGGCGGCACGGTGGGGCCAGAGCGTCCAGGCCTTTGGACGGCAGCCTCGGGAGTTGGCCTGTTTTCTATGGGCCACAGGGAGTCGGGAGCAGCTCTGCAAACACTGGCGTGAGATTCAGAGCCTGGCTCAGCACAAATGAATGGACAGTTCATTTCTCGGAGTGGACATGCCCAGAGCTCCATAGAACCCCAGTTCCCTCCAGGCCAGAGCCCGGCAGGTGCGGGGGAGAGTGTGAAGCCCACGCTCCCGGCTTAGCACCATGTACCTCCTGCAGAAGCCGGGGGAGCCTGGGTCCGGAATGAGGCTGGCGCCCCCCCTGTCTGAGAAGGGCCCTCAGCCCCCCACGCTTCTTAGTCCCAGAAGGGAACATTGATTGTGGTGGGAGCTCTGGTCAGATCTCGCCTCCCCCGTCTGCCTGCCGCGTGACCTTGGGAATGACTCACCCTCTCCCAGCCACCAGCCCCTCAGACAACAGGGATGATGGCGCCTGTGTCACGGAGCTGCTCTGAGAGCCAATGTTTTCCATGCAAAGGGCACAGCCCATGCAGGGACAGACCACAGGCTCAATTGGTGGCTTGTGCCACTGGTAAGAAGAATGAATAATGATTTTAACACCCCGGCACTTAGTAAAACGCCTGAAACATAAAAGGCACTCGAGAACTGTTGACTCATCTCATCATGGCACTCCCGGCAGGAAGCTGGGCACACGTCTGGCAGTTAATGAGTTAATGGCCAGCCAGCCCAGTCCTGCCCGGCTCCCCCTTGCCACAGAGTAGCATCAGCCCCCAGGGAGCCTTTCCCAGCACCTCCCTCCTGGATCTTTGCTCAGTTTAAGCCTGTTGTTGATCACAATCCCTTGCATTTGTGTGGAGCTTGTAACTTTCTGCTCACAGAGCTGGCTGGTCTGTTATCTCAGTTTTGCCTCAGACTCTGCCTGGGGGGTCTGGGAAGGGTTCATCCTCTTCCTTGGCCACTGAGAGAGGCAGGGACGGAGCAGAGCTGAGAGGTCAGGCCACACCTGAGTCCTGGTCCCCACGTCCTGGTACATGACGTTAGGTAAGTGGCCTGACCTCCCTGAGCTCCCAGCTCTCAGGATTAGTGTAGGAAGGGAAGGTATTTAGCAAAGTACCTGGTGCAGTTGGAGGGGCTAATTCATCCAGAAGCTCTCGGGGCACACGGAGACCCACCCAGGCCTGGTCCTTGCTATCCAAGGCTTTCGCAGGTCGCTGCTGTCGATGGCCGGACGGTGGAAGGGGGGGTCTCCTTGCCTTCTCTCTGGGCCTCCTCTTCCTCATATGCAAAGCCACGACTCGGCTTTCAGCACCTTCGGATATTCAAAGTTGGCCCCTTTGCGGAAGGATTCCTCGTGGAGCCATCCCAGCCCAGGCCCTGCCGAGGACCCGTAGTGCTTTGAAGAGCCTGATATAGGAATTAAGCTGCTGCAGGTGCAGCACCTAAAGGGAGGCCAACCCGAGGGCTTGCGGGCCATGAGGATGCACAGCTGGGAAAGGCTCGGACAGGGGCGCGGTGGGGTTGAGGGATGGGTGGGTCGAGCAGGTCTTCCCTGGCCCTCGTGATGGGACGGGCCACAGTGCCTACGAGACTTGGGGCAAAGACACGGGTGTGGACGCAGAGGATGGAAGATCAGGTCCTAGCGCTGCCTTTATGGCTATATGACCTTGAGTCTGGGCCTCAGTTTCCTCATCTACAAAGTGGGCTGATGGCACTGATCCCACGTCCTCCTCCCAGAAGCAGAGATAATGCACTTCAAGTCCCTGGCACCTGGCAGGTGCTGGAGAAATGAGAGGAATCACTTACCGTGAGAGCGCTGCCCAGAGAGGGAGCGAGGGTGTGAGAGGAGAAGGAGGAGGGTTACAAGTGGAGAAACTGAGGCCGGGCAGGGGAACAGCCTCCCAGTTCAGGGCATCTTCTACTGTGGAGTCCAAGTGACTCCATCAGAACTGGTGGAGCCCAGCGTCTGAGCCCCGTTCCAGGGACTCCACGTTCTCCTTAAGTCTCCCGACCACCTGAGGACTCTGAGCCGCTGTCAGAAACCATCCCCAGTTCACAGTGGAGGAAACTGAGCTCCAAGAGGCGTAGCTGGTCAGGGAGGGGTTTCATAGTTTGTGAGGAGTTCAGATTCGAAGCCATGTCTGTCTGATCCCAGAGCCCTTCCCTCTGCAGAGACCAGGGGCACGACTTAGGGACAGAGGACTTGGCTGTGTGTCCCTGCAGACAGTCGCTTCCTGGCTAGAGGAGCTTAAGCTCATGTAACAGAAAAGATCAGGGATCAATTTGTCTTCGGGTCTGTCGGCTTCAGGTGTGGCTAGATCCAGGTGCTCAGAGAGGTTGGGTATCGGTCCTGTCTCTCATGCTGTCAATCACCCTCCTCCATGCCAGCTTTCCTCTCAAAGGGGCCCTCCCCAGGCTGTGGCCGGGATGGCTGACAGCTCCAGGCTCCCATTTTGCTTAGTTTAAACTAAAGTCCCAGAATTCAGGCTGATTGGCTGGCTTCGGTCACCCTTCCCTCCCTGAACCAGTCACTGAGACCAGCAGGATGAGATGCTCTGATGAGCCAGAAGGGACCCGTTCACACCCTGCCCTGGAGCCTGGGTGGGGGCAGTGGGTGTCAATACCCCTGGGCAATCTAGACAGAAAGTGTGTTTGGGGTGGGGTGAGTCCCCAGAGGGACACAGGGTGTGGAAAGGGGATAGATGCCAGTGTCTGATGGTGCCCACCCAGCAGAAGACAGCCCGGCCCCGTGGTTTGGTGGCGGCAGAAGCAGGGGTGTTCGGTTGGGGGGTGGGAGGCTGGTGTTTATAAGGTACAGGAAACATGGGGAGCTGAGCGGTTTTCCTTGTGGGGGCAGAATGTGCAGGCGGATACGCTGCGCGCAGAAGCTGCCAGGGCCCCCAGGGGGTGTGGGGCAGGCTCCCCTGCCCGCCTCCTCCGGCTTCCAAATATTTGTCTGTGCTGACAGCTTCGCTGACAAGGCCTCCTGCTGCAGCCCTTGTTTAACCAGCATGAGCCACCCGGGAGTTCCCAGGGCCAGGCTGGGCCAGGCAGGGCATGGCTGGGAGAAGCAGCGGGCCTTCCGGCTGCTCTGGGGGCTGCAGGGGCTCCAAACAGAGCAAGGGCCCTCCCCCCCCCCCCACCCCTCCCGCCCCGCGCTCAGTCAGAAAGACCTTCCCTAAGCAAACACCATTTCTAAAACTTGGGGGAATCAAGCAGCCCTCGTTAGATTTTTTCATTTAAAATGTTGAGGCAACCATCTGAACAGCAGCGCACACAAACGCGGCAGAAGGAAAAGATTTAATTATCTTGGGGATGGAGAGCCAGCACTGCGTCTGGTTTTCAGAAGCAGAAATAAACAGCTTGGAATGTTTCCCCAAACACTGGGAAGCCTGGGCAGCTCTTACGAAATGAAGTGCCCAGAGGGTCCAAAACGCACAAGGATGACCCATCGCCAACACCCACACTCCGAAGGGAGGTCTGAGCCCTGACTCGCACCTCCAGTGACAGGCGCTCCTGCCCCTCCCAGGCTGCTCCTTCCATGTTTCAGCAGCTCTGGCAGCCAGAAAGCCCTCCACAGAGAACGGAAATCGCTCTCTGGGACCCCTTCCCCCCAGTCAGAGCCCACCCAGAACAGGTCCTTTGCCTTTGACAGCCGAGGTCAGCGTTTCACCTTGAGAGTCTCCTTCGGCCGGACCAGCCCCAATCCCCCGGGCTCCTCTGTGCCCCCACCCAGGGCACCTGGAAATCCCTGCTGCTGTGCCTGAGCAGGGGTGTTGCCCAAGGAGGCCCTGCCCTTGCCTGCTGTGCCCCAGCATGTGCATCTATGTGCTGTGTGTGTATCTGTCTGCACTTATATGTGTGTATCAACGGTATTCCTATGTGTGTGTGTGTTTCTATCTATGTGTGTGTGTTTCTATGTGTGTGTGTGTGTGTGTGTGTGTGCATAAAACACGCACGCACAGGTGAACGTGTGGGTGGGTGTACAGGTCCCAGTCACTGAGTGTCCTGTCTCCACCACCATCACAGGGTGACAGTCTTGGACGTGCTCATCTGACCTGTACACACTTGGTGGAGGGAGTGCAGGCGGGGGCTGTACTCCTCCCTCCTCATCACCTCCTGTGACTTGGAGAGGGGGCTCTGACCCTATGTAGTCTCTTTACTACCCCAGAACCCTGGCCAGCCAGCCTGTTCTCTCCATTTATTGGATAAGGACACAGCAGCTCAGAGAGGTTGAGGGACATGCCCAGGGTCACACAGCCCCTGAGTGACGGGGCTGGATTTTAACCCAGAGGGCCCAGTGCTCCTGTCCCACCATGCCTCCGTGCCACTGGCTGGGATTCCAGGCGGGGTGTGTGGGTGGGGGTATGGGTGTGGGTGGGGAGCAGCATCCATTCAGTCAGCAAACAGTTGCCAACCTGCTTTAGGCCAGGCCCTGGGGAAGCTGGGCGGGGGGGAGGGGGGACACCCAGGCCTGCCCTGGAGGAGCTCCCCTATTTGAGAAGGTCAAGGCCAGCAAGCAAGCTGAGGTTGGAATACTGATAGCGTGGGGGCCACGCATGCGGCGACCACACAGTATCAGAGGCGCTGACCTCCTCTCGCTCTGCACGGGCGGTGGGGGGGTGGAGAACCAGGGGGTCTGGGGGAACCCGGGAGAGTCTCCCCAAGAAGGCCAGGGACCCACGATGAGCTACAGGAGAGGAGAGTTTGCCCCAAGGTCCAGTGACCTGCCCGAGGCCACACAGGCCAGGCCAGGCCCCAGCCTGGGATGGACATTACAGCCAGGCCTTTCCCTCCTTCTCTCGGGCCAGAACCTCTTCGACAGCATCAAGAGCGAGCCCTTCTCCATCCCTGAGGACGACGGCAATGACCTCACTCACACCTTCTTCAACCCTGACCGCGAGGGCTGGCTGCTCAAGCTGGGTGAGGCACAGATCACTCAGGCACACGGGCACACGCAGGCACACACTCGGGCACACTGGGTCACACGGCTGACACACACAGGCACACACTCATGCACACTGGGGCACATGCTGACACACACACAAGTTGACATGCAACCTCAGGGTGGTGTCGAGCCGGTCCCAGACCTCCTGACTCCCGGTGCAGCTGTCGGCCTGCCCCATCTCTCCATCCGTCTGTCCTGGGAGTGAAGGGGATGGTGGGGGAGGGAAGGACAAGCAGGAAGAGAGGCAAATGCTGACAGACCCACAAACCCTTCATCTCCAGTTCCTCTCCCTTCCCGAGGGCCACTGAGGAAGCTAAGGCTCCGTGAAGTGAGGGCACCTGCCGGAGGCCACAGGCAGCGAGTGGCAGATCTTGGTGGGCAGAGGGCGGGGTGTCCCTGAGGACAGAGGGGGCAACAGGATGACAGGAAGTGGCTCGGGGGAGCCTCCCCCAACATGAGGGCCTAGACCTGCAGAGAGGAGCCGTGGTGGGTGCTGCGGTGGTGTGGGCGGCAGCTGCAGAGTCTGGTAGGGGAACCACAGGGCCCAGCCCCGGCCCCCACTCCCACTCCTGGACGCCTCCAGCAGGGACCGCTTAGCCGGGCACAGGGGCCTTCTGCGGCAGGCGGGACAGCTGTGACATGGGCAGAGTAATCACTGGGAGGCTTGACTGTAGCAGAATGGCCAAGCGCTTGCCTCTGGAGCTCTGCCCCTGGGGGGTTCGAATCTCAGCTCTGCAGCAGGGTCTTGAGCAGAGACTTGGTCTCCTCATCTCTGAAATGGGGTTAATAACGATCTCCTCCTCACGGGTGCAATTAATAAGTGATTATTATTTAAAACCCTCTAGAACATTGGTTCTCAACCTGTGGGTCGCGACCCCTTTGGGGATCAAACGACCCTTTCACAGGGGTCACCTAAGACCATCGGAAAACACATATATAATTACATATTGTTTTTGTGATTCATCACTCTGCTTTAATTATGTTCAATTTGTAACAATGAAAATACATCCTGCAGATCAGATATTTACATGACGATTCATAACAGTAGCAAAATCACAGTTATGAAGTAGCAACGAAAATAATTTTATGGTTGGGGGTCACCACAGCATGAGGAGCTGTATTAAAGGGTCGCGGCATGAGGAAGGTTGAGAACCACTGCTCTAGACTATTGCCTGGCAAATGAAAGATGAAATGCTCAGCCCAGTGCCAGGCAGGAAGCAGGCCAAGGATGGACCGAGGGGGCGGGCGGCAGGACAGCCCGGGGAGTGGCCAGCCACTGTCCGGGGTCTGATCATGGAGGAGCCTCGCAGGCTGGGTCAGGCAGCTCAGGGAAAACCTGGGGGTGCGGAGCCGCTAAGATTTCTGAGAAAGGAAGGGATAGATCTGGGGGAAGTGCGGCCGGCTAGGAGCTAGGGGCCCGGGGGGGTGGGGGAAGCACCCAAGGCCCTGCTCTTCCGGGGGGAGCATCGCAGCCGGGGGGTGGGGGGGGAGGAGGAGGAGGAGGAGGAAGCGGTGGAGGAGGAGGAAGAGGGGGAGGAGGAGGACTGACTCCGAGTTGGCCTCTTGCAGGAGGCCGCGTGAAGACGTGGAAGCGGCGCTGGTTCATCCTGACCGACAGCTGCCTCTACTACTTCGAGTTCACCACTGTGAGCCCGCCCTGCCCCTGCCCCGCACCCCCTCTGCACCCCACGCAGCAGTCCCCTCACAGAGCTGGGGCCCTTTGAGATCACATGATCCACCTCCACACCCATTTTACAGATGAGGAAAACTGAGCTACAAAGAGGAGGAGGGGCTGGGCCAAGGGCCAAGGGATTAAAGTTGGGTCTCCTAACTCCCAGCCAGGGCTCTCTCTGTGCTGCTCCCCCTCCAGGGCTGGACAGAGTCTGGGAAGACAGGGGTCCTCCCCTTGGTTTTAGGGAGCCCCACAGCTCACTCCCCTGTCCACACCTCAAGGCTCCGGTTGCTGATCGTGACCTCCCCTCTGGTTCCCCTGCAGGACAAGGAGCCTCGAGGAATCATACCCCTTGAGAACCTGTCGGTGCAGCAGGTGGACGACCCTAAGAAACCGGTAGGTGTCGGAGTGGGGACCTGGGAGGCTGGAAGGGCTGGTGGGAGGAGAAGGAGGTTGGGCTGGGTTCTCCAGCAGGTTAGGCCAGACCCCACCCACCTTGGGGAGGGGAGGAGGCGGGGAGGGGCTCAGAGCTGCCCCCATCTCCCTCCTGAGGCCATGGACCCTTCCGCCTGCCCCTCTGCCTCTCAGTAAGCAGGCCTGGGGCCAGGTGTGTGCTGCTGCTTGTCCAAGCGGGTCTTACCCAAGAGCCTAGTCCTCTCTGACCTCCTGGAGAGTCCAGCCCAGCCCCCCTCTCCTCCCAGCCCTGCCCTCACCTGGCTGCCCCCCCACAGTTCTGCCTGGAGCTCTACAACCCCAGTTGCAGGGGCCAGAAGATAAAAGCCTGCAAGACGGATGGTGATGGCAAGGTGGTGGAGGGCAAGCATCAGTCTTACCGGATCTCGGCCTCCAGCGCCGAGGAGCGGGACCAGTGGATCGAGGCCATACGGTAAGGGACGCCCAGCTGCTAGGGATGGGCTTCCTGTCACTTCCCAGAAGCCCCTGCTTCTTTCGGGCCTTCTTTCCTGTCTGCAAAGGAGGACAACTCCAGAATCTCCCTCCTGCTTCTGGCATCCAACTCCCTCCCACCCGTACTCTGTGCGCACTTCTCTAGGCCAGCACAGTGCCAGGCACCAGGGCACAGGGGGGTGCGGCACCAGCTCCATGGGGCTGGCAGGAGGCGCAGAGGAGAGGTCGCATGTCTAGCTCTTTGCCCAGCACCTGACATTGGCCGGAGCTCGGGAAGGCGCTGTAGTTAGTGGCGGGATCCTAAGTGGCCCTGGGAAGACCTGGTAGAGATGGAGGGACAGGTGTTCCCGGAGGGAGGACCAGTGTGGGCAAAGATGAGAGAGCAGGTCAGTGTGTGGCACAGTCCTGGCGGCTGGTACTGGGCAGCGTGGGGCCTGACTGTGCGGGGACAGGGCACTGTGGGGGCTGAGCAGTGAGAGATGAGGCTGCAGAGGATGGCAAGGCCTTGGCTGCCATGGCAACGAGCTTGGATTTCTCGGGGGGGCGGGGCGGGGGGGACTGGGAAGCCACAGGCTGGTAAATAGAGAAGGGGTGTGGCCAGGTGAGAAAGGCTACGGTGTAGGGGCAATGGAGGGACAGGCCATGGAGAGGCAGGGCCAGGTGAGGGGCAGGATAACAACCTTGACTCTGAGCCATGGGGAGATGTGGGCAAGGGCCAGAGGAAGACAGAGGACCAGTGTCTGGACCGGGGCCATGTCCCAGGAGCTTGAAGGGTCTTTTCCCTCAAGCTTGGCAGCAGCTCTATTAGGCTGCCAGTTCAAATCCATTCTCACGTCCATTTTACAGGTGAGGAAACTGAGGCCCAGAGTGGGGAGGGACTAGCCCAGGGCCACCCTGCCAGTGAGGGACAGAGCCAGGCCGGCAAGCAGGTCTGACTCCATCCAGGATCTTTCCACCTCCTCCCGGGAGTCTGATGGAGCCTGCAGAGGGGCGCAGGGACATTTGGGGGGCAGACTTCCCCAGGCTTTCAGCTCTCAGCCTCCTCTTTCCAGCTCTGATCATGGGCCTCTGAGTTAGGCCAGCGAGGCCAGACACACCTGGCCTGGTCCCAGGTCCTGGTTGGGGTCATCTGGCCTTTCCCTGCGAAACCTACGCCCCTATCACAAGCGCTGGGAGACAGGACGGCTTCATGCTAGCTCAGCCCCCCACTCTTTCACCTGTTCCCCTTCCAGGGCCAGCATCACCCGTGTCCCCTTCTACGACCTGGTCTCTGCTCGGAAGAAGAAGATAGCCAGCAAGCACTGAGCTCCTGGGAGGGGTGCTGGGCCAGGCGTCCCGGAACCCCATGACTGGTACCTGGAGACCCACCTCCCAGTCCAGGGCACCCTTTCCTGGCCTGCAGACATCCTCCCCTCCCCCGTTACTTGGAGCTGACAGGATGGGGAGGCGGAGCTCAGGAAGGTAGGTGGGAACAGCTGAAGGCCCCGAATGGCCATGAGGCCCCTCGGCACCCAGCGGCTGCCAGGAGAGGCCTGAGGAAGCAGGCGAAGAGAAGCCAGCCCCCCGTCCTCTCTCTGGGCCTCAGTTTCCTTTTCTGTGAATGTCTCCTCGCCCTCTGAAATGCTGTCAGGCCTCACAGCAGGAGGGCTGTGGGCTTCCTAAGCTCCATCCCTAGGGCACTGTGTGCCTTCTGCCCAGGGCTCACTCCTCCTCCGGTTCTTGGAAAACTGAGGGATGTCTTGGCCCCTCTGGTCTCTGTGCTCCCCACCATTGCACCCGGTGAGGGGTGCCTCAGCCCCAGTGCAGGCCCCAGCAGTCAGCCCCTGGCTGCCTCCCTCCTCTCGAACTGCTTCCTCCAGGCAGACCGACAGGATTGCACCAGGTCTCCCTAGGGAGCTTCCAGCTGAAGATGTCTGCACTTGTTTACTGAGCTGGAGGGGACTCTGGACTGGAAGCTGCGGGGAGCCTAGAGCAGAGTGGGCTCCGCCCTCGGGATGTCCATTTCAGGGGAGGCGCCGGCGGGACTCCCCAAGAAAATGGCGCAGAACATCCCAGACAGATGTACTCGAGCAGGACTGGTGGTACAACCAAGAAGCCAAGAAGAGAAAGCTTGTGAGTGTGGATTCCAGGAAGGCTGCCTGGAGGCAGCGGCCAAGTCGATGAGTGACACAGAAGCTCATGGCAGAGTCTCAGCCAGGCTTCCCTGCGAGACCCCTGAGCAGGTTCCCGTGCTGGTGAGGGGCGGCCCAGCTGGGCCCCGCATCCCGGGACCCTCTGCAGCAGCACACGGAGAGCTGAGCCGCATCCCGAGACCCTCTGAAGCAGCACACGGAGAGCTGAGCCAACTCCCCAGCAACTGACAGGCTCTCTGTCTCCAGGGAGGCCCAGCCTGGAGGAGGATTCCTCCCTCCAGCAGCCTTCTTCTCAGAGGCACTTCTCACCCCCTCACCGGGTCCTGGGGGAGCCCCTGGAGGGAAGTTCCCTGCAGGAAGCAGCATATGGGGTTGCCTCTGCCCCACTGCCAGCCTGAGTGGGCAAGCAAGAGCTCAGGGGTTCCCCAGGGGAGGGGAAGCCACCTCTCTTCTCCCCGCCGCCACCCCTCCACGGCGACAGGAAGGCGGCTGCCTGGTGGAGGGAGACCCCCCATCTCTGGGAGTGTGCAAGTGCCTGCTATGAGATGGCACTGAGGAGGCGCTGGGCTGGGCAGCTGCGGGAGGCGGCCTTGCAGGACATGTCGGGACTTCCCAGACCCCGGGTCAGCCTGGGAGCTGACCTCCACCTCTGCCACCTCACTGGCCCAAGAAGGGGCAGTCAGGGGTCATGGGAGGAGCGCTGCTCTGGGGGTCACAGGGTCTGAGGTCCTCTCCTGCCACTGCCATCCGCTGGCTAGCTGTGTGATCTCAGTCCACTCCGGTCCCCTCGGTCCTCAGCGCCTCCCCTCACTTTGGGGGAACCAGTGACTATCTGGGCACGAGGAGCATGAATCACTGAGATGAGAGAATAAAGTCATGATCCACCTCAGGAGTGAGGCCCTGTCCTCTCTCTGTGACCCAATCCTGGCCCTTCACCTTCATCACCTCCCCTGCTGAGGGCAGGAGGGCCAGGCAGGGAAGAGTGGGCACTGTGGAGGGGCCTGGACCCTCACCCTCAGGACACTTGAGGCTGCCACACTGGACAGACATCCCCGAAGGCCGGATGTGCCACAGGGCTCTCTCAGAGCAGGGGTGGGGCGAGCTGGTTCTGCCCAGGCTGGGGAAAGGTGAAAGAACTTCCCGGAGGCAGTGCTGTCTAAAGGGAAAGAGCTGCTGCCTGGGGAGAGAGGTGATGAGCTCCCTGTCTGTGAAGGGATGCAAGCACAGCTGGCTCTAATGGCCCTGTGGGGTGTTATAGAAGAGCTTCAAGGTGGTGACCTTCCTTTACTTGTACTTCTCACATTTATTAAATTCCTCCAGGGTCCCAGGCGCTGTTCCAGGCACTGGTGAATCCCTGCCGACTGGGGCTTACATTCTAGTGTTTCTGGAGTCTAACACCCTAGGCAGCCCCCTCCAGATGTGTAGGGTACCCAGGTGGCTCCCAGCCCCCTCTCTGAAATTCCACCAGTGAGTCACTGCACTGATCAACTTACCCACATATGCATTCACTTGGCCCCTGCTTATTGGGTAGCTGCTGTGTACCAGGCTCCACACGCAGAGCCGGGGGTGCAGAGATGACCAAGACAAAGCCCTTGACCTCTAAGGAGCTCAGATCAGGTCAGGGAGACAGATGAGAAAGAGCAGGGACAACCTCTGCTGTTCTGGGGGAGCACAGGGGCCAGTGGAGGCTGGGCTGGGCTGAGGGGCAATCTGGGGGGGCTTCTCGGAGGAGTTGTGCTTGAGCGTGGGCAGCCAGGTGGGGGAAAGCACACATACCTGAGAATGCAGTGAGCTCACCTCATGTCTGTTTCCTAAACCACACACACACACACACACACACACAGAGAGAGACCGTGAATGCCTCACAGGCCAGACGGTCCCTGCTCAGTGCCTAGGACACAGTAGGTGCAAAATAATGGTTGGTTAGACTGAAGTCAACTGAGAAGTCAGCATCAGCAGGTGCAAATGTCTGGAAGCACAGAGAACTGTGGGAAGGGGTGTGCTGCCAGGGGTTGGGGGAATGACAGGAAAGGGGGCAGGGCCACATCACAATCCAGGACGGGGAGGGGGGCTTGACTCCCTGGCGCAGGCCCCCTTGCTCCTCCCCTGGGCAGCTTCTGCCCATCTTCCCACCATTCCGCCACTCCTCACTCCGGACAGCAGGGGGCTCCCACCACACATGGATGAGAGGTTCCCAGGTTGCAGTCCCAAGGCCCAGACCGCCTCCCCTGCAGGCATGAGACTGCCAGAGCAGAGCCTTGGCCTGGGCAGGCTTGGGGGGTGGGGGTGGGGGGGCTGAGAGGAGGAGGGTAATCTTTTCTAGTTGAACCTGCAGGCTCAGGCTCAAGCAGCCCAACAGGCAGCCACAGCACAGATAAGCACCGGCCTCCCCCACCTTCAAGCTGGGCTCAGCCTAGGAGTCAGGACGCCCAGCTCTCACTCTCTGGCTGTGGGCCCCTGAACTTGTGGCTTCCCCTCCTGAGGTGTGATCTTCCTCCCTGAGGATTGAGCCAGGTGACCTCCATCATACGAACCTTTAACAGGACTTCCATGTGCAAGGGTGTCTCCGACATAGGTGCAGCACAGCCCCTGCCCTGATGGACTGACAGGTGTGGGAGAGGGGGTGGCCAATGAGGAGGTTTCACAAAAGTGTGAGAGGCCACATGGGGGAGTCCTGAGAGCCACCCAGAGGCCCTGGGTTCAAGGCCCAACTCTACCCTGTGTCTTAAGCAAATTTCCTCAGCTCCATGAGCCTCAGATTTCCCATCTATAAAATGGGAACAATTAAATATATGCAAAAGTACTTAGAACAGTGTTGAGCACCTACTCAAGGTTATGATAAATGCTATTATTTATTACTGTTGTTGTTATTACAAGGCAGAATGTGTACATGCCTTCATGGAGATATAAAACAGGCTGAGGCCATTGGGGGAGGAAAGATTCATGGGGATGTGGGGGTGGAGATCTGGGAAGGCTTCTTGGAAGAGGTGCCCATCTATTTATATATAAAGAGCCAGGGGCCATCGCATCTGAAACAATGGAACGGACGACCAAACAGGCTGAGTGGGGCGACAAGGCCAGCAGGGGGGGCAGTTGGGGGCGACCAGGCCAGCAGGGGGAGTGGGGGCAGTGAGGGGCAACCAGGCTGGCAAGGGGGGGAGTTGGGGGCAACCAGGCCAGCAGGGCGGGAAATTAGGGGCAACCAGGCCAGTGTGGGGGGGGGCAGTTGGAGGCGACCAGGTTGGTGGGGAGGGCAGTTAGGGGTGATCAGGCTGGCAGGGGAGCCAGTTAGGGGCAATCAGGCAGGCAGGCAGGTGAGCAGTTAGGAACCAGTGGTCCTGGATTGTGAGAGGGATGTCTGACTGCCGGTTTAGGCCCGATCCTGGGGATTGGGCCTAAATTGACAGTCGGACATACCCCGAGGGGTCCCGGATTGGAGAGGGTGCAGGCTGGGCTGAGCGCCCCCACCACCCACATGAATTTCGAGCACTGGGCCTCTAGTTAAAGATAAGCAAAGTGAAATCCTAGTTCTTCCAGCCAGTGGGACCAAGAGGAACCGAGACCAGGATTCCTTTGGACCCCAAAACAAGCCTCGGGGGGCCCAAGAGGATACAGGTTTGAGGAGGGCTGGGTCCTGGCAAGAGCTGGGCTGTGTGCACGGTGCTGCAATCCCTTGCATCTCCAAGGCCATGTGCCCCTGGTCACGAAGCTCTGACTGGGGATCCAGTGACAGGGCTGCTGAACAGAGGCAGAGGATGTCCTGGGATGGAGGAGGAGAGGGCGAGGGGGCTCTGAGAAGGCAAGCGGGACCCCTGCCCAGTGCACACTGGGTAACCCAGAGCTGGCAGGAGCCGGGGATGGGGCCAGGCAGCCGGCAGCCAAGCGGCAGGTGTGAGGGACCTGGAGAAATTGATTTATTAGGGACAATGAGAGGAGCTAAATGTTTGCCGGCTCGGTGATGACTCAGACGCTCCCTCAGGGGTCCACAAAGTGTGAGCATCAAAGAAGCAAAGAGGCCTCCTCCCACCAGGGTTCTGCCAGCCTTGAACCGGTCCTTCCCAGGGATGGAAGGGCCTCCCACGGAGTGTCCTGAGGGCCTGGCCTCCCAGAGGCAGCAGCGGCCTGGCCACGCCCTTCTGCCTGTGCCCCCCCCCCCCCGGCCCCCCAGCATGGCTGAAGAGCAGAGCCTCCTAGGGAGGCACATCTGGGTGAAGTCCTGGCCGTGCCCCAGATTGCTGTGTGATCCCGGACAAGTGGCTGGCCCTCCCCGGACCCACATTCACCAGAGCGGATGGATCCCCACGGAGCCGGGCTCGGCCTCCCCTCCCCGCCTGGCAGTGTCATTCCCATCCATTCGGCTCTTCCAGACAGCCCAGCGCGGCCTCCTCTGCCTCAAAGCGCCAGCTCCCTCCAGGAGAAGAGCCAGCTCCTGGGGCCTGGGGGGGGGGGGGGGGGGGACGACCGCTGCCTGCCTTCCGGTGCAGGGTTCCAGGCCGGTGCTGGGCTGCGGAGAAACAGGGATGACTCAGAGTCTGAGGCCCGAGGCAGGGCAGACGGAGGAAGGAGCGAGGAGCTCTCTCCTCGTGGGGGTGTGGAAGGAGCCTGCAGGGAGGGGGCTGGGAGGAGCAGAGGAGAAGGGACCATAGGATGACCTGGAGACCCAGGCCCCTCTGATGGCACAGGCTGGGAGGCGCGCCTGCCCCGCCCCCCGCCCCCGCCGCCGCTGCCCCCAAGCCCAGGGAGCTACTCAAACCTCAGGCCTAACCCGGAGAAGGGGGACACTTCTCTGGGTCACAGAAGTGCCTGCCCCTCCCAAACCCACTTGGCTCTCCTGGACCCACAGTGCAAGAGGGGCTGAGGCCTCTGCCACCTTTGCCCCACAGGCGGTATTTATGGAGGTTTCCCTTATGTTCTCCTGTGAGTTCTTAGCAGTAAATGATCCTCAGAACACGCCCACAAAGACCCAGTGCCCCAGACTTCACCCGGACACCCCTGTCCGCCCCCCTCCCCCCACCCTTCCTCCCACCCCCCTGCAGCAGCAATATGTCACAGCCAAGGCCATCATTCATGGGGCACTAACTAGGACCAGCGCCTCCGCCAGCACGCTGCCTCCCAACCTGCCGCCACTCTCCACAGGAGGCACCGCTACCCCCGCTCAGATAAGGGCCCTGAGCTCGCGGGCACGGGCACGGGGCCCAGCTGGACGAGGGCCTGAGCCAGCAGGGAACCACGGCCGTCCGACGTGAGGCCTGGATGGATTCAGGCGGCCGCACGATCATCTTCCAGAGTGGGCCCCTCTGAGAGTGCTGGATTAGAGGGGATGCTGGGACAACGGGGGTGACCAGGACAGCCACGGGCACCCCAAGACGTGTGGTCACTCTAGGGAACGGACATTTCTACCAGAGCCTGGCAAGGAGGTCGGGGCATCCTAGGTGGCCCTGTGGGCTGGCGGGATGTGACCGTGGCTGTTTAGTCCTGGGGAAGCACAGGGCAGCTATTTCACCCAGAGCAGACTGTCCCGCCACCCCATTCCCATGAGCACTCCCCTTTGCTGGTCTACCCAAGTCCTGCCCCAAGGGGTGGTGGACGGCTGGTCCTGCGTGCAGGGAGCTGCCCACCACCTGCCCTCTGCAGACATTAGCTGCCACTATTATAGTTTGAGGCGGGGGCGACGGGGGGGGGCTCCCTTGCAGGGCTGAGAGCAAGGGCTCTAGTCTAGTCAGAAGCGCCATGGGTCCCAGGGGCTGCCCCTCCCAGCCTCCCAGGAGCAGCTGAAGCCCTCCTCCTATAGGAAGTCCTCCCTTACCACCCAGCTCCCTCTCTCTCTCTCTCTCTCTCTCTCTCTCTCTCTCTTCTGCGAAAAGCCTCTGCCTGTGAAAGCATCCTTCCCCTTCCCCAAGAGGAAACTGAGGCTCACAAAGGCGATGAGACACGTTCTAGGTCGCCCAACGTGGAGGAAGACAGAGGCAGAGGCGTCTGTTGGGCGTACTTATCTCTTGGATCCTCCCAGTAGCCCACAGGGCAGACAGGATTATTCCCATTTAACAGAGGAGGAAGTGGAGGCCCGGAGCTCTGGGCCGGGAAGTGGCAGCTAATCAGCTTGTTTCCGTTGAGTTGCTGAGGCCAGGAGGACCCGGACCACAGGCAGTCCTCAGCAGAGGGGGGGATTAACTCCTGACCTTTACAGTCTCTGAGACCCTTTGAAGCTAAAGCTTAACTCTCATCTCTTCCTCCCTCCTCCAGGGGATTTGCACTTCATAAATAAGAGCCCAGGGAGGAACCAGCTTTGATGCAAAGACTTTTTTTTTTTTATTTAAAGAAAATGTCCCCTGGAAAAAGAAAAGAAAATGTCCCCTGTTTAAAAAA